GACATTTTTTTATAGCACGAATATTGATAAAAATCAAAATTGAAAAGATCAATAATAAAATGCGTAAAAATGAAGAAGTAGATTTACTTGTAACCAACTCTTAAATCTTTGTGCTATATTTTCACAAATATTTTTTACCTAGTCATTATTTTCAATACCTCATTCAATACCTCTTGCTATAACGCGCTCTTGTTAATTTCTCTTTGTATTCTTCGCAATAAATGGCAAATGGCGATATTTTGGTGGACACGCTAAGCTTGAAACAATCGCATAGAACAGCCATATTTATCCAAGGCAACGAATGACCACGGGCCCCATTTGCAGATCGTAAAGATAATAGAGACGCATAGTCGTAGCCATTCTGTGTCATCAATAATCCAACACCGTAACGCGGCCTGCAATTTGCAGGACATTAGCATCGCGGTCAGATTTCGGTGTTCTGTGCCACGAATGATGACTGATTTCGTTAATGTACCGAGTACACGTGCGTGGTTTTCATATCCTATTACGAGATGATCAAGAGATAAGATTACGAATAATACGATTTCATGATCTAAATCAGCTTTCAACCACAAAGTTAGTAGATAAATGAATTTTTGCACAGAATTATTTTTGTTCTTATTAATTTCTTATTAACTCGAAATTAGTCACGTGAAAAATCCAAGAAAAGTTGAAACTTTGTAACTTCAAAATTATAATCAATCATGTATTTTTATCTGTTCTTTAATAGAGATTTTTATTCTTTAATATACTTCTCAAACAAAAACTTGAATCGTAAATCGTATTTTGTCTATATATATTCTATATATTTTTAAAACAAGATTAAAAATTACTGGAAATTGAGTTTAAAAAGTATTAATATTTATCATGACGTGTATTTTTGATCTTTGCAATATTGCGAATTTTTAACATAACAATTTCTAAATATGAGTTTTTGTTTTAAAAATCCTCAGATTATACCATAGAAACATTAGCTGCCAATTCTACAGTAAATTATAAATTATTTGATTCATATTTTTATTATATATATTCGTAAGCATCATCTGTTACGTAATTAGACATGGTAATTAATCATAAGATCCTGCTCAAAATTCTGCTATGGCGAAGCATCGCGGGGGGTATTATAGTTAGATTCACACTCAATTAACACACTTGCGCTTCTCGGCGTTGCGCGCGACTCCGCGACGGTGCGACATTATGGATTTTATCGCGACGGCCGCTAATTGCTACTGAAATTTATCTGGCGCCTCCATATTCTACGCGATATTACTACGGCACTGCAGTCATACACGAGATCATAACTTACCGTCCTAAATCAACACGCTGTTCTCCGCGGCGCTAAAACACGAGAGTAGTATCTCGTATGATTTTGCTACGTAATTCGTCTCGAGCAACTCGCTAAATCAAGTACATTTGTCTAAACTTTTTTCTCTTCCTATGCAAACTTCCAGACCATCGTCGACCAGAAGATTCGCGATACGAACGAATCACGATTGTGAGAAAAAATATGTATAATGGCAATATTAATCTTTCTTCTGGCCTTAAATTTATTATTATTGTAGGTGATATTCCTCACGAATGGAATAACTTTCGCAATATCAAATTATTCGCACAATTTATACAGGTATACAGGTATTTTTTTACTTTTTTCTTAATTTTCATTATTTGCCAGCTGATAGCTGTGTGACATTGTGATAAAAATGCTGATGTGATGGAGGAAAGAGAAAAAAAGAGAAGCTTTCACACAGCACGTCAATTTAGATAATAGAGGTAAAAGCTGAAAGAGATGTAAAGGATATATGCGATAACATGGGGCATGTACAGGAAATTGTATCCTATATGTAAAGGAAATAGTGCGATAAAGACACAGAAGAAAAAGAGTGGCTGCGTAAAAGGAAGAAAATGAGAAAGGGGATGCTGAAATACTAAGAACACAAATCGATATGTTAAATGAAAGAGAGAGAAAAATAGAAAGAAAATTAAAAAAAGACGAGAAAGGTAAAGGAACAATGTGGAGGCGAATGAGAGAGAATAAAAACTAGGAAGATCTCGATGGAATAGAAACGGAAGAAAAGGGGAAAGAAACGCGGATGGCTGAGAATGGATTAGCTGAAACTATCTGATATAAGAAAAGGGCGATTTGGACGGAGATTTAGCGAAAGAGTAGGCCGCTGATATTCACGCACACAGATTAAGCATCTTAATCACATACGAACAAAACTACAAATTGCGCACTCGAGCGAAATGAAAACGGCACCGAGTACTCATGTATAAGAGAAGGTGCGACATGTTTAAAACAAAAAGTTCAACGGACTTGAAACACAAGCGAGGGAAAGACGGGAATCCGTGGAGGGATGGATGAACAGTTAGAGAGAAAGGGTCGACGAAAAAGTCAAGAGCAAAGGACACGAGAGACGTGCTCGGTGAATTGGAGACGCTTTGCGCGAGTGAAATGGTGTAAGTTACGTTACACAGCTTAGCAAGAATACAGATGAATCCCGTCTTTGTTCTTTTTTATCAACGACGTAACACATTGCCGTTTTAATCTCAGTTCTGTAGTTTTAACGGTAGCATACGCGCTATGATTAAAAACGAGCTTGTTTCGAAACTATGCGATTACATTAGCAATAAAATTTTCTACTCCGGAAACTTCGTTTCCTCTGCATGCGCGAGCTTTTATTGCTTCAATCGTATTTTAGCATTGTAATTTAAAAGTTGATATTTATTAAACTTACAGGAATGTTAAGTATTATTTTAGTAAAATATGAAAGAGAGTTATAAGTAATTTTCTCCTTTTTTTATGTAAAATATTACTTCTGCACTTGCGTTTAGTTGCAAGCGTCCATAAATTTATGAATGGAACAGGAGATAATTTTAAGTAACTGGCATAAGTAAATATATTTGACTGACAAGTAGATTAATTTATTTTAGTATAATGATTTTTGTGTTATCCTCATTGTATAATATAATAGGTTGTAATTTTATCTTTATTATAATTTTATCTTTTATTAACATCTTGCTTGATGATATACTATTCATTGTTAGCGTTGATGATCATCTCGAATATTCCTATTTATAAAGATGTCATTTCTCTCACGAGAAACGTAACATTCAGTATGATGCGAAAAATTTATTCTCATAATACAGTTTCATTCATTCGAAACAACGAATTCGTTTCACCGTTTATTCTCTCGAGACATATTAAAAATAACAGTTGCAGATGTGTTGTAATTTTGAGTTTGATCTCTGTATAATAACATTGTGAGTAAAAACTCAATTTAATCAAAGTTATATCTGATGCGATATAAAAATATCAATAAAATTTCGATAATTATAAACCCTAGGAAAACAAAATAATGCAACAAACGATGTGATATTTTGCTATTTATTGAGAATTAAAGTTAACATAAATTTAATAAGATTTTAAAATATTATAAGAACATAAAATTAATCACTTTAAAATTTATTACAATTTGATTATGCGACAATTAATGCAAAATATATTTTTTATGTATATGTATAGTGTATTTATGTTTTATACATAATTTCTTAAATTACTTTTATTTGTTTATTTTTTTCTATATCGAGTTAAAAATATCACAAATTTTGTTTTATTAAAATTATATTTATTATTTTAGTTCTTATTTTTAGCGAGCATTTGCATCTTATGATGTTTCGTTTTGCCGCGCGACAAAATGGAACAAGCAATAAATAATGTTAACTATAAAGAATAATTTACAACGTTTTAAATCATCAAAATTTCAGGCTTGTCAGTCGCGAAATATGCGATAAAGAAAATGGCCGTTTGTTCTCACAAAGTGTCATTGCAAGAGTACTCATTGCGTATCATCCCACACATCTTTTTGTCTCTCACCGAAATTAAAATCCTTTGTGCTTTGTCCATAAAAGTGTTTGACACGTTTCTTTGTTCCCCGCTTCATTTTTTTGCAACTTGTTTCTCCGGGCAAAAGATAGACACCGACTTCGAAATAAGCCGACGAATAATTTTCTTCAACGCATATCGGATCAAATTAGTCTTGAGGATGAAATGTGGGGGTAGACATAGTGGGGTAGAGGATCTGCGCCACCCTAACGAGACTCTAATCTTCTTCCCTTCGTGGAAGCTTAGGGCAGCTCGCTCAAACTTTCGCTTCGTGCACCGGGTAATTAAAATGTTAATCGAGGAATTAGCCAGTTAAGTAGAAGGTTCGTTCCGAGGTATACTTTGGTTTCGCCTGCACGTCGTCTGTCTTGATTAACGGAGCTCGAAAGTCGAACTTCGATCGGGTTTAATGTTAACGAAGCATGAAGAGAGCTAGTAAGAATCTTATCTCATCAATGGCAGATCTTAGTGCGATTATACGAAGATAATAATTATCTCCTTTAAGCTATATACAACAAAATGTAATGTAATATCATGATAGATTAAATATATTAAAGAAAAAGAGAAGAAGAAATTGGGTTACACTTTAATATTATTACAATTTATATTTTATATTATTTGAAATTTTTATGAGATTGCGAGAATAGTGTTATATATTTTTTGCATTGTACATTACAACCTAAGGATTGGAAGTGTGCGTTTACGAAATTATGAGATGCGTAAAAAATATCAGAAATAACGTATAATTGAGAATGAAATACACTCTCCTTCCCGCCTTACACGATTTTATCTAAACTTCTGCGCATCACGTGCTGCGAACGTAATTTCTCGGTCATCTACGAGAGCGGTTTCTCGTTTGGGATTCCTATTTCGGAAATTAGTTGGAAAATTAGTTTTGGCCACCAGTTTACCACGAACTTTTGAAATTGCTAGGTTGGACTGGGGCACGACCAGGAACACAGTTTTCTGTCGTCGACGAGTCACCTCGTACATTGTCGAGTTCTAATGTTATTACAGTTCATTCCGGGTGGCATTTCAACGTCGGTCAGCGAAATGTCGCGAAATTGTTACCTTCCGTTACAACCATCTAAAGGACTATCTTTCATTTTTGTTGCAGATTGGATGACGAGAAACTGGATCTCATTAACGTAAGTAATTTCTATATGACAAGGTATTATCTTCTACAACTTTAATTAAATGTCTTGCTGGTGAGATAACAATGTTACAAAAAAGTTACAGATTAAAAATTATATTTGGCCAGAATCTGAGAAAATCTCTAAAATTAAAAAGTATAAAATTGAAAAATAATGATGATACAAAAATTAGTAACAGGTTAAAGTAAAAACAAGAAAAAGATATTAATAATAAATTATTATGTGCTTCAATTTTTATAGTAATTCTTTTAAGACAATTTTAAAGAAAATTGTTAAAATTTTTAACTTAAAAGGAACAATAATATATTAGAATTTAATTAAAAAATATTTAATTATAAATATTTTTTATCATCTCACTTATTTAATTTATATATAATATTTATATAAGGAATATTAATTTATATATAATATTTATATAAGGAAAAAATATATATAAGATATATATATTAATTATAAATAATTTCGTAACAATGAGTTGTACTGTGCAAATATATGTAATTATTTTAAAGTCTAGTTCTTTTTGTAAAGGACTAAAAGCCCCGTGAGATATTAGTCCTCTGTAATCGCGAAAGCCTCTGTACGATTTCGTCGGCGTTGATCAATGTCGATATACGAGGACGGGTAGTGGATGGAAATGGACCATGGTAGAGAACCATATCAAACGTTACCGGCGTCATGGCGGCCTAATGCACCGCATCGCGAGCGTAACTGTATGCGCCAAATAACCGGAAATTACTGAACGCATTTCAATCAGAACCGTCCAGCAACGTCCGTCGCATAGGCCATCGTTTGTTCCGCATAAATAGACACCTAGCTTGTATGATAATCTCCCAAATCAAACCGGGAAATCTCGGGGAATTGCCGGTTCTCTCTAGAAGACCGCTTTTCCAGTAAAGCTACAGTGAATGATTTCCATATTCGATGAAAGGAACACTTTCATATATTGTATGATTATATATATACATATCGGATATATATCGTAATATAGAGAATCAATAGTAGGTATTTGTTCATAAATTCGGCACCGACTTTCTTTCTCCATTATGGAAAATTTATAAATTTGTAACATAATATCAATGTTCTTGAATATAATGATTAAGGAATATTTAGTGAATGAAAATTGAACATCTTTTTCGGGAATGTAACAGATTATAATGGAAATAGATTCTAATATTTTATCTCTTAGTATAATGTTAACTTGTTTAAATAATCATTAAGATTACAATAGATATTTGGAATAGATATTTATATATAAAGTTGAGAGAGAGAGAACGTCTAAAAATTACCATCAATCTCTATTGGTCTCCAATTAAATTTTCGCTAAAAAAAAGTCGGACACAAACACAAAGTATTTCAATTTCTTGTAAAAAACTCTGTTATTAACTTTTACATTTTATAATCAACATGTAATGTGTTTGTTATTTGTCTACATTTGCATGAATATTCAAGTGGCAAAATATTCCCGCTTTTCGCAGTTATATGAGAAGCGAGATAATAATATTTTGAGATTTGTCTTCTGTAACAATATACAAAATGGAGTGTAAATTGCAATGAAAAAGAAACCAATTTATACAATGAAAACTAATTTCATATACGATAGCCATCATCCTGAATATTGAAAACGATTTTGCTGCGTGTACATCGTATTACATGCAGTTCCACTACGGAATTGCACACTTAAATTAGATAGAATGGAATATCGTGCAGTAATACCGCAAATTTATCTCCATTGTGCATCGTTGTATTTATCAACATATTCCAATTGCGCTAGTTACAATATTTCACGCGTTATGCAGCAAAACAACCGTCTTTGAGTTTGGTGAAACCACCTATCTATTTACCCATGCACGGTAATTGCGCTTCGCTTGAGATAGGGGTGCAGCTCATTAAGTCTACCTTGCGGTCAAATGTTTCAACGAACTACGTTGAGGCATCGTATATAGCCTTCTAGCATAAACATATGCAAGCACTATTTTCTCTCTCTCTCTCTCTCTTTCTCTCTCTCTCTCAATAAATTAAATATCTCAAAAATATACTCGTATGTTTTAATATTTCGTTTAATTTTACCAAAAATTTTGTGATATTTAATAAGATAAAAAAAAAATATTTTTTATTATACTTTTTTGCTTTATCTTATGTAACGCATTAAGAAAACTGACATAAGTTATTTCACTATTTTTAACTTAATTATTAACTTGAATTATTAACTTGGTAATTGTTAACTTGAATATATAAATGTTAACTATATACAAATATAATTTGTAAATTGAAAAATTTTAAAAAGAGACAAAGAAATTTTTAAGAAATTCATTATTTTTTTTCAATATCTTATATAAATGATAGAATCGGTGATAAGAAACACGACTGAAAAAATACATATTTTGCAATCACCGTGGATATCAAACCACAGAAAAACCTTAGCTTTTCTTTTTTCTCTTTTGTGATATCAGTATTGAGCATGTGCATTGGCAATCTCAAGAGAGTGCCTTTACTTCGCAATCTTCCGCTTGCGTTTCATTGCCGCGTGAGCTACTCTCCTCTCGCTTGTCGAACTGCTCTCTTGATTTTTCTCGGCCACTTGTTTTCATCGCACTCTTTTCTCGGACACTATATCCCGAGGGTGCTTCTCGCTCTGCGGAAACCTTACTACCTTGATCAGCAGACATACGTTCTTCAACAGTCGAAGTGAATTCTCGAGCAATTCAATGACTTGTGAGCCAAAAAAATTAATGGTAGGAGATTTGTAATGTATTAAGAATTATTTCAAAATTTTAAAATAATTGCGATATAATTATCGTTTAATTTACTTCTGTTTATTTTAGACTCCTGCATATTTTTGAAAAATTTATAGTTATAACGATTTTACCAAAATTTTAAATAACTAATGTACTCTTATTTTTATTATTAAAAATGTATGAAATGCATTTTTTCCATTGAGATGCCGTGTAACACAAGTCCTTCCATTTGCATATTATTTTACAATGTATGCGATGATAATCTCAGAGGAATGTCCACCCTACAATCTTTCGTATATGTATGTCATGTTATTACAGAATGATATTCGTGATTGTTCTCGTGGAAAAAGAAATTATTCTTTTTTATTCTGATTTTTCTCGTATAGTATTTTTCATGGATGATTCTTAGTCTAATCTTCACTCCCTTGTATTTAGTGTATATGAGGGAACAGACACACATTGATGATAAAAGTTTATTCTATTAAGCCACATATTAGCAAAACTATTATTCTGTACTTGCTGTACATAATTTTATAAATGTAAAAGTAAGTAACATCTATTTTTATTTCATTAATTGCTCTTTAAATATAGTAAATTTTTGTTAAACATAATAGATTTTTTATATTTTTTTTCTCATGTACAATTGCAGAATATTTAAAATTTAAAAAAATTTTGTTATAGAAAAAAAGAAAATTTTGCTAAATTGCAAATTATAGTTTATATTTTAGGAAATAAATAGTATAATTTCATGTTTATATATAATTTCTTTTTCCATCATAAACAATGGCACATTAAACACAGAGGATAATGAGATATTCTAGTATTTATGATTATAATTATATAATTTGAAGAAATTTTTACGAAACTTATATTTTGAACTTATAACGAAAGCTATATCTCTATATTTTGAGTATTTATATATTTCTAAAATTATAAATACTCTTTATAAGTTATTATATAATTTAAAACGATATCGATCATGTATAAATGCGAATATGTATTACTTTTCTTAATTAATTTTTTTCAATTAATATACTCATAACAACTTCTCATGTCGCTATTATTACTGGTGACAATTTGCGAAATAGTTCCCATGAATAGAAACTTGTTAATGAGTTTAGCTCTTAGATATGATTTGCCTGAGGTAATATAAATTAAAGCATTGTATTACGTTATTTATTTGAGGATGAATAGAAAGCAGACAATCCATTTATAATCATTATCTGGCACCAGAGAGGCGCACTGATAGGTGGGGCTTGTCTTTACAGAACATTCAATAGCGAATTTTACAATGGTAAGATTCAGCATAACGATTGCCTCTCGTGCGAAGAGTTCGATCACGGAAACTTTTCTGAGGGTATGCGCACAAAGAAGGCGTGTTCCATACTTTCTTCATGGGACGTCTTTTTTTCTTGGAAAGTAGAAAAAAAGAAAGTTCTACTCGACGAGAATCTTTACCCTCGACTCGTGAGACAATGGAACGGTTCTTTCTTTTGCGTCAAGATCGATGAACATTATGAAGAAAGATGGCGCGATCATCTTGTCGCCTGTCCTATTATATATGTTTCGTCGTGATGTAAGTTTTTCTAAAGAAATATTATATACTTACACAAAGATATACCTTTATCGTAAATTTTTTTCGTTCCAACAAAATTCAATAAATAAGTTCAACTTTTATAGAATAAATAATTTTCAGACATGGCATAGATAGATAAATATTACGTTGTTACATTACATTTATATATATAATCTAGTATAAATAAATTATCTATACAAATATACTAATTAATTTTTAATATCAAAAATATATGAGAATATTTTTGATATATTGATTAATTTTTCTATATATTGATTAATTTTTCTCTAATAAATTCTCTGAATATGAATTTTTAATAAATCTTGTAAAAAAATTAAAAAATGTATATGACCAAATCTTGTCATAACATAAATAAACGATATATATATAATAAAAATGTTATTTCAATATATTCATAAATATCTTTGTAGGATTGCACAGTTATAAGCACAACGTTTATAATTTATGCATTAGTAGATATTCTATCTATGCATTGGTAGATATTTTCGAATTCAATTCGATTTAGAATGGACCAGAAAACCCTCTAACTTCGGGGGTTGCTGATGGAAAAGGGGTATTTAACGCGGCAACTCGACGAACTTTCTAACAGTGCCGTTTAAATTAATTCCTCCGTCGCGTTAAATATCCGCCTACTTCTGGCTACTGCACCTGTGTACTTCTAT